TGGCGTCACACAAATTCTTACTGGCTGTGCATGAGCCATAACTACTCGCTGCTACCAGTAAACTTCTTTTCATTCACTATAACGCATAAACTTGCTATTGTGGATTTCTGTCTCATGCAAAAAACATAAATCTGAAGGAGTAGGAACTGGGACAACTAGACACCAAGGTTTCGGTAAAGTGTCGCCGAACAACCTCATTTTAGTGCTAAATTCGGCGTTTTCAAGCCGACACGACTGCAGTGTCCCATTCAGTAATCTCCTTTCGGTCTTTTTTCCGGCGCAAGCGACTCTTTAACAATTTAAGATCGAAAGCCAGTGCGGCACTCTGTGACTTTAAACATTTGTATTGGTGATGCTGTCTGATGCAGAACTCCCGGAATTTGAAAGTAAAAAAGGGGATGAGTAATGATCTTCAATTAGCAGGCACCCAGATATGTAAATGCTCGAATCTATTTGCATTTAAAAAAAAAATGCTTCAAGAGAAAACAAAATGAAAATTTTTTTACATGAAGAGCAGAACAAATATCATAAATTATGCACACAGAAACCGGACCGTGGATATTCTAATACCGGAACAGCGTAGCCACAGCACATACAAAGTAATCACAGATAGCAGAAATAAGGGATGGAGAATTTGTTTTAGTAAACTGAGTGCCATAAATGCAACAGTAGCTGCGCATCCAGTGCAACTCTTGAAATTATTTACATGCAGTTCAACTTGCAACAAAACAAGTGAACAGCACCGGTCGCCACGTCATTCATTTGCTCCACTTGATAAAATATGACGTTTTTAGCATCGCCGCACCAAGCTTAATTTTATTTTCACTTCCTCGACACCAAAAAATACTTCCCAGCCGACTTTTTCGCTTCCTTTTCGACCAAATTTTGCATTTCAGTGACTCAAATTTTTTTTTTTTGCTTGACATGTGCCCCCTCTTTACTGTTATTGTAGGCATCTCTGCTGCTTCCTTAATGCACACAGTGGGGGAGGCTACCTCATTCTCTCGGTTACACTCCTAGAAAAATGATTACAGTAATCAGCTGGTTGGGTACAATGCGCATTTATTAACAGCAACCAAAAATAAATCACTACGTAGTGTTATACAGAAGTAGGACAAAACCGCCCGAACTGTAAAAATGGAACTCTCCATGTTACTGAAATGCGACCACTTTTTGAAATCTCAGTGAGAATTACAGAATTTCAGGCAAGCTTCAGTTTTCTACCCTTTCAAAAACACATAAGCAGCAGCAGCAGTAGTAGCAGCATTAGTAGTAGAAGTAGTAGCCATATACCTAGAAATCGATAAAATCAGTGATTTTCAAGGAAAAAAAGAAAGCAAATTCACCGGGCAGAGAAGCAGAAATGAACACAGAGCAATCACGGACAGATTAGTAGCCAGAATAAGGAGCTTAACAGATTTTCAAAAATTATCAAAATTACAGCATCCAACGAAAGCAGTCTGCCTCTGAGATCGTTAGAGAAAGAGGAAAAGAAGTGTTACATCCGGTAAGTGAGTACAGCCGACTATGGATCTGAGGTTGACAAAGAGCTGTTAAGAACTACAAGCGCAACTGCACCATCGGCTTCGGGAATTACGACATCCGGAGATGACTCAGCTTCTACTACAGTTTGTTGAACAACTACAGCACCACCTTGAGTATTGTTGTTTGAGCACTGACTAGTATTGTTACTCGTCATTCTTTCTAATAATACATTTTGTTTACACCGTCGTCTATCGTAAAACCTGCAAAATGTTGAGCCTCTGCATCACAGCAACAGTATTCATAAAATAAAGCCTAGGGAGAAATAAAGTTCGTGGTTTTAGTATCAATAAAAATCAGATCCATATTAGATCAGCATCAGAATCGCTGGGATTATTAGTGCAAATTACTCGATAAAAACTGAAATGCAAACTACCGATTTAATCCCACCTAACGAGCATTTACTGCGCATGACGAACAATTACGAGATGCTGCTGTGAATTCGACCAGTCGAAAATACGAAACTCAATCCAATTCACAGCTTTCCACATCTCATCAACAGAAGGAGAGTGATGCACTTACCTGTAGCCCAAACGACTCAGCGAGAGCAGCAATTCCCTGGGAAATCCGTTAATGATTGGAACTTCTAGAAAATGCTAGGGTGGTACGCCGAAGGCGGCGAATGGAAAAATCTGCTGTTCAAAGGATCTAAGAAAAAATTGTTGAGATTTAGCAGAGATGCAGCAGTGTCCCGAATAACTGGAGCAAAAAAAAAAAAAACAGGCAGAAAGAACCAAGAAGAGACAGTGAAAGTCAGAAGAATGCTGCTATAGGTTTTTATTAATGAGAGGGAAACGCTTTGTTCGTGAGTGTCACGAGAGAAGACAGCTGAAACTATAATGTTTTGCATACTTCTGAAATCGATTTGTAGATTACTTTCCACCAGATTTGTGACCAAATCTGAAAAAGCTGCTCAACCAACCAACCATAAATCACTGGGAATTATCAAAACTCAAAAAACCTTCCACATTCCACTCGCCATTAAAAAAAGCGACACGCGAAACTGCACTCTGTGGCAGCACTTTGCCTGCAGCAAGCATCCTCTCGCAAAACTTTTCGACAGTTTCCTTGTCTGAGAGTTTATCGAAATGCAAATTGACAGTGAGTCTCTGGGACGCTACATTCGTTGCTGCTATTTTTCCAAACCAGTGAATCAACCAGTCGTAGAGAGGTTGATTTCGGCGGCAGAGGGACAAACCGACTCAACCCTCACAGTTTTTTATTTTCCCCAACCCATGTTGCTTCTTATCCGAACCGAATAACGCACATTTTCTGTTTCCTGTATCAGTGTGTCCGTACCGCCCAAGCTTAGCTGGACAAAATGTGGCCGTGTCTTCTAGAATTACCCTGATCCTGCCTTAACACTGCTTAATCTGCTTCACAGCCACGATGACTGGCCACCTACACATATTTACATGTCGATTTTGTGCAAGGGTTGTATAACATCGTAAGAAACCAGCCTTTGCAAAATTCCATGTAATATACTACCGGGCAGTCGCTGATGCTCCCGAATCAAATCGTGTACCTCTTCTTTTACTTTCTTTTTAACATCTTCTGGATTTGCATCACAAGAGAAGAACATTGGCTTGCCCAAATGCGTTCTGAAAATGAAATTTGCCAGGCCGAAATTTTGAGCGGACAATAAACAAAATGCAATTTCAATGCGGAAAAGTCAAATTTTCAAAAAAAAAA